TCCAGTCTGTAACATGGCTCTAACTACATAAGTATCTTAGAAGGATGCAGTGAAGATTTAAACTTAACAGTCCTGGTCCCTGGGTTATGTAGTTTGACAAAGAAAGTTACAGCCAGTGCTCCTAAAGTCATGCAAGAAACTCTTATTCAGCTTTTAAAGAAAGGCTGGTGCCTATGGAGGTACACAGCATGCATTTACAGTGGGATTAGTCATACCGGTCATGAAAGTATGCAGTACCACGGGCACAAGTTGAAAGATACCATGATAATTATGAGAGTTCACATCAGATGTCAAACATATAAATATGTTTATTTAAGCTAGTTCTCTGTGTTGACTCTGGACCTCACACGTAATGCTGAAAATTAGCCTGGTCTGTTCTTTAAATAAATATGTTTATTTAAGCTAGTTCCCTGTGTTGACTCTGGACCTCACATGTAATGCTGAAAATTAGCCTGGTCTGTTCTACAACAGTAGTGTAGAGAAGTAATCAACCGAAGCAAGATGGTTATGAGGGCAAGTTCAGTATATTTTTTTGGTTGTGTTTTTTTTTTTTCCAGATTGGGTCTCAGCTTCAACAGTATTTCTTCAGTTGAAAATGGCTCTCTTAACAATGTACCTCATCTGAGAGAGCTCCATTTGAACAACAATGAACTTGTCAGAGTACCTACTGGGCTGGGTGAACACAAATATATCCAGGTAAAGTTTATCATACTGCCTCAGAGAGCAATAGTTGAAAGATTCCGAATGGTATTTGTGTGGTTATTCAGTCTTGAACAGAAACATATACAGTATTTGTGTGAAAGGTAACTTGATGCAAGTTTCACAAAATGTTGAATAGACATGGAAAAGTTGCATAAAACAGGAAGGCTCTTATTCTGGTTTTTGTGTGGATGTGGTTACGGAGGTGTATAGATCTGGAGGTGTGCATTCATTATCTCCGTGTGTCTGAGGGGATGCAACAAATACAGGATTATTTGTTTACTTTAATTTCCTCTTTACTCAAAAAATGCTTTCAAAGAACATTTATTCTGTCGATTTCTTTTCAGTTCTACTCAGGGACATTTTGCAACCTTTCCCGAGAACATTCCCTTTAGTATCTCACAAAGCTGTGCCTTCAGGAGGGCAGAGAGACACAATATGCATTTCACATCAGCAGTATTTTTGAGGTCTGTGTGGCTGGATAGCTAGAAACATGGCCTCTTGGTACCAATTAAAATCTGTCTTCACTTGGACTAAGATTTTATGGGAAAGAAAGCTCCCAAAGAATGAAGACTCCCAAATGTACCACTTGTATGTAGTTTGGGAAATATCAGAAATGGTGACTCTGGAGCAAAGTAATATTCATCAGTCATTTTAAATGATAGTTAGTGATTACTTTGGCTCTGAGTCTTGTGCAGTTGCACTCATGAGAGTCAAAGCATTAAGAGCTAGAGAGAAACTAATTAGCACCGAATACATTCTTTATATACAACACATGCTTCTGAACCACAGCACTGTATTAATAGTTCTATATTTTTGACTCCTGTTTTGGTTACGGTATGATCAAATAATAGTAATGTTATTAGATTGCCTTGCACAGCTTCTTCTCTTTCTGTAGAGATTATTTTTAATTTGGTATACTCTAGGTATTTCAAAAGGTAAGAAGAGTCAAGCATTCGTTTGGAAAAAAGGATATGTTGTTACTCTGTATAACATTGCACAGTACATACCAAGTATTGGACATCAGATCATTTATCTTATTTGTCACGGTAGCTCTATTTCCCACTTCTGTACTTCTGTGCTTTTCAGGTGGTCTATCTTCATAACAACAAAATTGCTTCAGTTGGTATCAACGACTTTTGCCCTCTTGGCTACAACACCAAAAAGGCTAGCTATTCCGGTGTGAGTCTCTTCAGCAACCCCGTGCAGTACTGGGAGATCCAGCCCTCTGCTTTCCGATGTATCCATGAACGCTCTGCAGTACAGATTGGAAATTACAAATAGATGTCTAAAGATGGGGTTCGGTTTTGTTTCAGCTAAAGTACCTGTTGTAATAGGCCTGTTCAAAAAAAATTGTTGCTAACAATTAATGCCAAATACCAGAAACTTCACTTTACAGTGGAGATGATCCATTGATGTAGAATAAATGAATCATTACAGATGTACAAGATCAAGCATACCATCAAAAAGAATTGCCAACTGTGCTTTAAACTGACTTATTTCAGCCTTCTTTTCCAGCATGCTTTCTGTGGTATTTTTCAGTTTGCTGAATGCTACAGTTTTTCAGATTCCACTGTATATGAGATTCGGAGTAAATATTTGTCAAGCTATGATATAAAACAAAAAAAAAACATAGTAATTGAGGTTATTTTTATAGCCACAAAAAAAAAAAAAAAATAGAGGGAAAAAAGACTCTCAAATCATCTTGAGACTTGAGAAAGTGAGAGTTACCTCCTTTAAATTTATTTAAAGCCCTGGAGGTTTAAAAATATCCACTATAACACTAAGCTAAATCTGAATGTATCTATTTAGCAGAGGCAAATAAAGTTGTTGCTAATGTCATTATTTTGGAAAAAATAGAATAAATTCATATCGTACACATAGTTCTTTAAAGTTTGCCATTCTTCTAGAGCAATGCTATTCAGGATTAGCCTAACATAATCCGATTGAACAAAATAATGTGTAGTCTGCAGTACAAAACCTATATCTGGAGCTCAATGACTAAATTTCTTTAGGGCAAATCCCTCTCATCTTAGCCACAAGAGCAGTTTAAATGACTTCAGTGAGACTGGCTTGCAGAGTACGGTGTTAGGGTTTAGTCATTGGTATCAATCCATGTATATATCTAAACCAAAAATAATAGCAGTTCACTGTTCACTTGTTCTGCATTGTACATTTGTCAGCATCCTTTACTGGTTTGTTTTTTTTTAAAACAATATTTTTAATTGTCAAGTAGAGATATGCAGGCTCCCCATCTGATGAATTTGTGGAATTGAGATTATAAGCAAAATCATAAGTGTAGTAAAATATGAAGTGAAATAACTGCAAGGCCTAGCTGGACATTGCTGGGACATCATTTGTAGAAGTATCTTCTTAGAGTGATTTGAAGCGCTCTGCAAACTGGGATTCTTCAACCCATACCAGTGGGTAGCAAGCACGTCAAAGGTAGGCTGCACATTTCTACTGTCAATCTACAAAGCTAAACGTATACTCAATAAAAATGTCACCGTAAAAGAATCTTCTGCAGCCTCTTAATAATCCAAGGTCAATCTCTTTAATTTGTAAAACTTATATGTCATTTATATTAAAGAATAATGTAATACAGGCAAACTCCAAAGTGTTTGTCTTTATTTTCCATTTTGATAGCATAACATAGTGTGTCAGAACTTTAATTATGATTAAATCTTGAAGATTGAACATATTTGGCATGGCGATAGCTAAAGTAAGAGCAAGTTGTGTGGAATTCTCTTTCCCCAAGAAATTTTTTCATGCCTAACACTCATAAGTACTTTTTCTAGAAAATGAATGTGTTTTCTTTATAGCTGTTGTTTATTTAGGTAGTAAATACTTGGAAATGATTATGAATCACTAAAGCCATTACACAGAAAAAGCATGTTTGCACTCTTGTTAGCTCCATTCTTCATATAGTAGCCAATGATTTCCCCCATTTGCATCTGTTTTTTCTTCTGGGTTTCACATTTTCTAAGTGTTATTTTTAAATAAAACTAACAGTACATCATATCTTTCTGTCACTGGAGGGAAAAACCTCCAGAAAATCAGCAGTTAGATTTTTTTCTTTTGGTTCTTGGTTGGATATCTGCTATTATTCAGAGAGAAACTTTATGCAGAAAGCTAAGCACTGGCATTTCAATAGAGGACAAAGGCATTGTCTTGGCTTGAACAACTCCACAGGGTTTGTATATACACAGTTCAAATTAGCAGATACAGATACAACTTACAGGATGAGATTTACACAGTAAATAACAACAATTACTTATTACATAAAAGTATTCTAAAACATATACACAAACTTCCCATTTCTCCCTCTATGGCTTTAAAATCTCTCCATACTAAGACTTTTCTTTCAAACCAGAAGCAACTTTAAGTCCAGAAGAAAACATCTGAGCCTGGTCCTCCTCTGTAACACCCATGGTATGTCCCATACCAAGCTTGCTGCCCTCTGTGCTATTCCTCGTAAAATACATTCCCTGCTAACAACCAAGGGCTGCAAAGATAACAGGACTTTCCTGATTTCCAGTCCTGCACAATAAAACAGAATAAGCAAATCCTGTAACATGAGACCTCAGCAAAATCACAACAAATTCAAAAGATAAACACACTGTTGGTTTTCCATAAATTGTGCAGCCATACCCACAATGTTTGACTGACGGGACCCTATCCGCACATAGCATCTACAAAGACTTCAAAGCAGTGGGAAGCCCAATACTTTTAAAAGTCCTTTTCATATAAATACAGAACAGATGGCTCTTCCACTTAAAAACAAAACAAACAAAAAAAAAGGGAAAGAAAAAAAGAAAAAAAGAACAAACCCAAACAAACTATAAACAGTTGGGCGGAAAGAAAGAGAAGAGCTAAAATAGAAAGCCTTTAGGCCCAACAGTGCGTCTCCAATCCCTCCATAAAGTATGAGGATGGTAAACAGTTACAACTGTAGGACTCAAACACATAAAGGAATAAACCCCTTGTTTCCTGGTGCAGCCTAAGGCATCTTATCCCTCCCCGCATCTCTGGGCCATGGAGAGGTCACTGCGGGCAAGAGTGTGACCATCTCTTGGGTGTGAGAATAAAGTCTCCCAGGGAGCCTGAAACAAAACTTATCCTAATAACTGGGAAATTCAAGCTGGTGGAAACAGGAGATATGAGAATAAAAAGGTGTACTGACAGATCCTCAGCTGCAAGAATGATGGAAGAATTTAACTGACATACAGAGGCTTCTTATTTCTTCCACCAAATATAAAATTATAAAAAATCCAAACTAAAACAATAGCATTTGTCTGCCTTTGCTTTCAAAACTATTTTTTTAATAATATTTTAAAAATTCTATCTTTCTGTGATAAAGAAGAGAGAATAATAAAATTAGAGACAAGAATGTATTTTCTACTATCTTCAATTAATAATGCCTATGATTCATCACACTACTTACAAGCATGCCTGAATAAATGTTTGGACTGTCTTTTTTCTTATTTCAAGAGGTTTTCAGAATTATGGCCAATATTTTCTGTTACTTTTTGATATCTAAATGTATAATTTTCCCCCTAGTCATAAATCTTATTAAAGTGTTCACTAAAATCCCTGTAAGAGGGTTTTAACATAAGAAAATAGCCCCTTCTGTTTCCTACTGATCTCACTAAATATGTTGGAAACAAATATAATGTCTTGAAGAAATGATGCTTCTTTAAGTTTTTACTGCAGTTTTGATGGCAATACTGTAAACTTATTCTCTTGCTTTTGTAGTATCCTTCTCACTTTTTTTTTTTCTTTTTTAAATTAATGCTATCCCTTAGGTTTAGGTTTTCCAAGAGTACATAGATATTTTTTGTTAACAAAACCATATATTGCTAAAGAATGTTATTTTTTAGAACTTAACTACAAATCAATTAACCCCTTCATACATGCTTGTCTCTTAAAGCCAGAAGGGAGCTGGCTGGTTTCTCCTAAAGTGCACGAGGTTATGGACAGTCATCATATACTTAATTGCTGATGTATAAATGACATCAAATCTAGACTCATTTCCAGGGCAGGATCAGCTCTTAAGTTCCTGGTGTCAAAGTATTGCTCTGATTTCCAGGCCTATAGATGATTTTTTTTAGTATCCTCTAAACTGCTTCTCAAATCCTCCAAACACAGTGTCTGGTAACAGCTTTCTGGCCCATAACCTATTTTTTCGACCTAGTAGTGAACTACTCCATTATAATCTCTTTCTGGTTATGTTTGTTACTTTTTAAAAATAGATAGTATACTCTACCTCGCAGTTACACACACAAATTAGCAGAAAGCTGAGAAATTACTTTTGTTCGGTGCAAACATTAATGTCATTAATCTGTAATATCATACACAAAACAACTAGAGATTACAAAAGCCTTCCGGACCCCACCACTACTCTGAAGTGCCATCTAGTGTCACTGAGGGACACCAACAAAGTTACTACTCAATTGTGAAAAGCAGGAGGAAAGATCTTTATGAGGCTTTATGAAAAGAGGCTACACAAATTCACATGCTTTGCCGTTTTGCCTTTTTTTTTTTTTTTTAAGTCACAGTGCATAGCTGTGAAATCAATAGCCTTTTTGTATCCACAGTCAAATATTTTTGCTTTGCACATGGATGTGTTTTTGCTCGTCCTCTCTGAATGTACACATTGCTCTGAAGTCAGTTTTGCTACAGGGACTGGCCTACATCTCTGTAATTTATTTTTTTTTTCAAAAGAGGCGGCCTTATTTTCCATGGTCATTACCAAGCTATTGCTAGGTGGTTGGGTTTTTTTCCATTCCAAATTTTAAACTACTAAAGGGGTTTAGTAGGTACTAACGTAGTTGGAAGTAGTTTATTCAATAAAAAGAAATTAAGGAGCATGTTAGTGACAATTTTGCACAGCACTGAAGGGAAAATGTGGGCTGTGAGATGTTCAATATTACTGAAATAGTGGAACTAAAAATAGTTGATAAATTTTAGCATAAACCGTTACCCTAACAGTGCTACAACCACTCCAGCTGTACTAAAACAAAGTTATCTGTGCATTTCCTGACAAGGCACAAAAACTGGTTTAGTGTTTGAATTAAACTCAACACAAACACTCAAACAACTAGACTCCTCAATGGATGTATTTAAAGTGACATAAACCAGCCTTTGGTCTCCTGCCCTGCTTCCTGCTCTGGAAGTTGAGGGCTGGCAGTGTACCCGAAGTGCCTGAGCATCGGTCTGGATGCAAGCACGACAGAGGGCTGTGTACCCCGCCTGTGAAACTCCACGCTTCCCTTTCTGAGATACAAAGATGTGGTTTCTTCAAAACTGCTTTGTCAGGCTGTTCTTTTACTCAGTGTGTACATTATGCCACTTGAAAGCTTTGGGGATTACCTCTATGTGGGTGTCTTAAGTCAGCAGACCAGAAGAATTTTAATGCTCTGTTACTGCCTGCTTAAACTGGGACTTAAATCTGTGGGAGAAAGAATGGGCAAAAGTATGAAAAATGGTATTGTTTTAACCATATATATATACACACATGCATCATTTTAGATTATAACTTAATATTAAATAAAAAAAAAAAACAAAGGGAACTAATAACAAAATCAGAGAATCTGCAGTGTGATGAGAAGCAGTGATGGTCGTGTTTCTGAATCCGCATATATGGCTGCAGCAAGCAACGCAGTGAAGAAATTTTTGGAAAATAACAAACATTGCAGGCCTTGCATCTGCAGTCATTTACCCACATGAACAGTTCCAATGTTTTCAGTCAGAGGAACTGAAAGCTACAGATGGGCACTCAATTTTGAAGGGAAATTAAACAAAAGATGCCATCCACTCTCTAAATACAAAAGGCAGTTTTTAAATGAATGAACAAACAAAAAACTATATCTAAACCACCTCCATCCAGAAAAGCTTCATCCAAAGAATTGTCCCAGGTACTGTCTTTGGCTCACACCCAGATGGAGAAGGGGAATACTTTCAAATCATAATTTCTGGTGATAAATGGCATGATATTTGGCTTATAGGCACAAATACTAATCAATACATTTGTTGCTTCTAGCATTTGACAGGAAGGACAGTAGAATATGTACTGCTTTATTCTGTATAAATGGTTACAATTTGCAAAACTTTCTATTTTCATATCTAATGTGAAATCAAGAAAAAATTCCAGGTTTTTTTTTCCCCTCAACAGCATTGAAGTATATAATTTATGATAAATCGTACTTACACCTTTTATTCATTTTCAACTAATATATTAAACTACATATTATATTTAAATAAAAGCCTTAAGGATTTTGCTACTATTTTTCAAACTTCAGGTTTGGACAAGTTGCATTATTGCTTCCAGATGAAGACTTTAATTGAGATGAATTAGGCTAGTGCTTCTCCACACAGTAACTTTTTGAAAGTGTTCAATATAATCCCAATATAAAAGCATGAAAATAGGGACCATGTGTCTGCTACTAAATGCATGTTAGAAAGCCCTTTCAACAGGAAAACTCAGAACCAATTAAGCTAATCATGTAGTATTCTGCCGATGAATACTTTCATCTTTTAATTTCAAGGTATTGAATCTTTGCAGGAGTAAAAAGATTATAAAGAATAAACCAAATTCCAGAGTGCAGGGAG